TTTGTTAAATAGGATTTCTAAAAAAATCTTAAAAATACAAAAAAAATGTTAAATTTGATACTTTAACATCAAGTTATTTAGATAAGCTTTCCATGGCTGCAACATTTGCTGGCCAAAAACATTTTCATATCGCAAACAAACTAAAAATTTACCCCGAAATTGGTTTAATTTTACCCTTTATTTGCAGAGTTAAAGGTATTTTGTATTCGCTGAAAAGTATGCTATGTAACATGTAGAAGGAGCGGTATTGACCCTATAAATTATATACATATATGCTAGTTCAGAATCTGTGGCTGAGTCGGTTTAACCATGGTTCGTCTGTTCATACGACTATCCATCTGAAACAGCTTTCATTTTAGATTTTAGAAACTTTTAAAGATAGAAAGATATGAAAACAAATGCAGATTTTAGGGCTTATTTCAGCCTTCGGCCACGCCACTGTATCGGTTCTCTACAAATACTTTTTTTGCAATACATATGAGCAATTTTCTAACCGTTAACTTTCCTAACCGTTAGTTAAAGAAGTAAGACTTAGTTCCAGTGTTTACCAACAGATGGCTCTATGAAATTAAGATTTCTGCTTCTAGCAATATATTTTGATATTGATAGAGTAGACTAACAAAATGATTGGTACCTTCTAGTCTAGGCAATCTTTTAAAGCCTTCCTTGTTATTATTATTTTTTTTTGCATTGAAAAAACAGATTACATTTATGTGAATCAACTAATTACCGAAGGAGGAGTGCCAACATTCAATTACGCCGTTAAAGCGCCCGCATACTTAGCTGAATATTAAAAGCGGCAAATTGAAATTGCAATTATGTATTATCTACATCGACCATTCGATAAATTAAAACGGATAGCCCGCACGCAAAAGGCTAACCCATTAACCCACTCAACGGGCAAGGTCAGCTAAGCAATTAAAACCGAAAAACGGGCTGTGCATAAATGTAACAAAATAACGTTACACATTGTGGCTTTTTAATGGCAAACAGGCCAACTCCCCCTTTTAGTTTGACCCCAGAAAAGCCATAACTTTTATGGCACGCACGCAGGTTTTTTATTCTTTTCGATCTGCAGAATGAAATGCCATCAAATGCCTTCTCAACTGCCAGCCCGACACCTGCCGTCAAAGTCAACCATGTAAATATCCGTGTTTAAAAAACAAAAAAAAAAGAAGAAAATAAAAAAGGTCGAGGTTTGTCCTGTGTTTGACTTCTGCCTTTATGTGCATGCAAACGCATAATCAAGCGTGAAGAACAGACATCCCTTGCCAACAAAAATTCACTCCTGGCACGGAGATATATATATATGTACAAACATATATGGGTTGGTACGCATACCCTGTTATCCTGCATCCTTATCCTGCTTACATTTAATTTCACCTTCAGCCAGTGAATCCTTCGAACCGCCAAGACGTCGCCTGCCAACCATCTCAGCCAGCCTTTTGCAGCTCTTCCGCTGCTTTATAATGTTCTTTGCCTGCTTGGGTGGCGGCAGTAACACCCTGCCAAAGGGTTTTATGCCCTCTTCCGGAAACTTGCAATAAAAATAACTTATATGTTGCAATTATTTTTATTTTATAACTAAAGAATATGTTTGCATTTGCTTGACTGGGTTTAAGTTGAGAAAATGGCTTAAAATTATCTGAGATGGAAGTGATATAAAAACTATTTAGTTTATATCTCTTATTAAATATTAATATATGAAGACATTTTGATTTGATTTAATAATATAACCTACTAATACACATTATCTTTGTTGTAATTTTAGAGTCATAGGTAGTTATATATTTTTTATATATTTTAAAAGATTTATTTAATATTTTTTTCCTAACCCAAAAGTAATTTCAACAATTTTTATGTAATTTACTATATCTTAACTACCTTTGCTATTTATTAGCTTGTAAGGCATAAATAAAATGCAGCCTTTAGTTAAGAGCCATGAGGGCCACTGCACTAGCAAGGATATTAAAAATGTCGGCCATCGCAGATAGGACTTTGCCTGTGTCCTTTTTTTTTGGGGTTCCCTGTTGTCGTCTGTGCATTTGACAGGAAAAATTAGTTGGCTACGAAAACTTTTGGCCTCGCCGTCGCACATATACAAACGTGACTTCCACGTATGAGAGGGAGAAAGTGTATGTGTGTGTGTGCTCTATCACACGTTACGTCCTTTTCGTCCTTTCCTGGCAGTTGTAAAATTTGTGCTAACGAAAAACCATAAACAGGTGTTGTTTGTTGTTGACGCTGCATGTGGCCTGCCGCACAATCTGTTCCTTTCGTATGTCTGTTTTCTACATAATCCGCTCGCCAAGGCTGCTGATCCGATTTGCTACTGCTAAAGGACTTCCCACCTCCTCCCCTCCGCCCCTAGAAAGGACCTCTCCCATACCAATCAACTGACTGTGTGTTTCGCAACTGTTTCGGGCACTGAAAGTTATTAAACTTAATGCAATTTAATTGACCTTTTCGAGTGTGGCTGAGAGGGGATGTGAAGGCCGAAAAACTTTTGCGCCATCTGCTGTTGGCGTTTTCCGGACGAAATGGCCAAAGACGTTGGTAATGGCGAAAACGAGGAAAGGACAAACACTCGCCTTCGCATTATTACTTTTAATTACGGCTTAAACCTATTGACTGGAAATTTTAATATGTTATTTATTTACAATTAACGCCCCAGCAAATGCTTTCGTGTACAACTGGGCGTATGATTTATGGCATTCTCGCCCTCTCACAGCAATTGTAACTATTGTTGAATGCAATTTCCTTTTGTTTGCTATCGTTCATATATTTCCTTATATACATATACACATACATATATATATATATAGAATTGAGTGTGTAACAGTTGCCTCTCGTAAATTACAGGTTTAAGGTTGAGGGGGGGTAGGGTGGGTTAAGCGTGTGTCACTTTTAAAACCCAAAATCTTTGGTCGAAGGGGTTTTTGGGGTTGGATTGAAACCGAAATGAAAATGAAATTATTTATGATGCTCATTTGATGCGACAGCTTTTTGGCCAACACTCTCTCTCTCTCTCTGTTTGCCTGGATATGGCCTGGTAGCTGAGGCCAAGCGGAAATTCACAAAAGTCCTTCAATTTGCAGATATTATTTGTGTATCAATGGAATTTACTTTGGCCGATTTGTGGAAGAATTCATCAATTTTATGTGGCTCGATTTGATAGAGAATTAAATAATTTACTAAGCTTGAGTGCAGTTTGGTGCAAAAGCAGTTTTTGTTTTGATTTCTGTGTTTACTTTTTGGTAGTTTAAAAATGTTTAGAACGGGGTTGCCCAACGCCTATGCTCTGACTGCTCATTTGTTTTTGTAAATGCTCGCTGCATAGGGGCTTGGTCGCCCATAAGCTTTGAGTGCTCGCGGCGATTTTACACTAACAATTTTTCGTTTTTCTCTTTCCCATTCATTCCGTTGCCTACTGCAATACAATTTGTTTTTGTTTCTTACTCGATTGTCCCCAGTCATCCTCGAACCCCTTGCTATTCCACTAACAATTTTTGGTTTTCCTCTTTGCGTCTTATTCCGTTGCTATCTGTAATATACTTTGTTTTTGTTTTTTCCTCGATCATCCTCGAACTCCTAATCCACTAACAAATTTTCGTGTTCCTCTTTTCGCCTCATTCCGTTGCCAACTCCAAAACATTTTGTTTTTGTTTCTTTCTCGATTATCCCCGATCATCCCTCGAACTCCTTGCTATTCCACTAACAATTTTTCGTTTTCCTCTTTTTGACTTATTCCGTCGCTAACTGTAATATACTTTTCTCTTGATCATCCTCGAGCTCCTAATCCACTAACAAATTTTCGTGTTCCTCTTTTCGCCTCATTCCGTCGCCAACTCCAAAACATTTTGTTTTTGTTTCTGTCTCGATTATTCCCGATCATCCCTCGAACTCCTTGCTATTCCACTAACAATTTTTCGTTTTCCTCTCTCCGCCTTATTCCGCCGCTAACTGTTCTTCTTCGATCATCCTCGGAGACTTGCACTGGAATTCATTCCTTTTAACTTTTGTTTGCTCTTTGGAGTTTATTTCGCAGTGGACTATCCATGTGACTGCTAAAATGAGTGATAAATTGGTTAGCAAAAATAGGGTGTTTATCTTTCTCTCAGTGCACAGCTGCAAACCAACACAAAAGCGTCACTAAATATGTGCATGCTTTCTCTTTTTTATGTAAGTTATTTATTATAAAAACCTATAACTTAATTAAATACAAGTGTTAAAATATATTATCGTTCTTATTTCACATAAAAAATCTAAAGTTATTTTTTGCTATGGCGTTAGTTAGTTTGTAAGTGAAAATCTGATGATAGTTAATTAGTATTAACTGTTAAATCACAAAAATAAAGTAAATACTTTCCTTAAAATTAAAAATATAAAATAAATGTTGCATAATAAATTCAATAATAATTTGAAAAATGTATTAAGTTCTTGTAAGACATTCTTTCTAATAACTTATCATTTTTGCATCTGGCATTTTTGGATTATTTTCACAGCTTTCTTTTTTAATGCCTTCAAAAATTGTTTTATAGTTTGTCCTTTGACCTCTAGCCTTGCATTTTGCATCGTTCTTACTTCCTAGAAACCTTGCCTTACATATTTTAATTTCTTAATTACTTAGCTGCCTTGCTGGTGGCAAAGGACTAGGCTGAAAAATGACACACCGAATAGGAACAGTCTGAGGCAAGTAATCAGCATATATGTACATACATATAGCACACCGATTCTGTTGCATAACTATAAAAACTAAAAGTTGCTTACTGCCACATTACTTACTAGCCTGGCTCCCCTTGTCACATAACCAAGCAATTTCCCCTTTTCCAAGGTCTTAGGTTCAGGCCAGACCAGAGACCAGAGACATCAGAAACATATTAGCAGACATTGAAGAAAAAGCTAAGCCAAACACAAAGTTATTTTAAGGCAGGAGCGGTTCAGAGAATAAAGGTTGAAAAAGAATAACAAATATTTAAATAAATAATAATTTTGTAAATAAAAATGCTAAGAAAATATTAAAAAATAAATAAAAATTAAAGAGTTTTGTCAAAATTAAATGAAAAGAACAAGTTTGTTTCAGAAACTGATCACAACTTTTGTTTATCTTTTTTTCTATATAAGAAAAGTAGGTTTAGATATAGATATCTAGGTTATATGTCTCCTACCTTCAGTACTAAACAAGCCAAGCTACTGGAGAAGTAGAAACTACAAAAAACACTAAAAAACTTCCTTTTTCCTAAGGATGTTCGATGAAAAAGAGGTGGCCGCATTCAAGTTGGTTATTATTGGAGATGGGAGAATGGGCAAAAGTACATTTGTCAAGCGGCATCTGACTGGAGTTTTCGATCGTAGATATAGATTAACACTGGGTGTGGATGTTCTCCCACTATATTTTCACACTAATCGAGGTTTATTTCGCTTCAATGTCTGGGATACCGGTGGTCTGATGTTCTGTGGAGGTCTACGCGATGGTTACTATATTAAGGCGGACTGTGCCCTATAAGAATGTGAAAATGTGGCATAGCGAATTGGTACGAACATGCGGTAAAATTCCAATCGGCAATAAGTTGGATAAAAAACATCGTGAAGTAAAACGATCGGAGATTCGTTGTCATTTGGAGAATAATCGAAGCTATTTGGAAACTTCGGTAAAATCAGACTACAATTTCTCGAAGACCTTTGTCCTGCTGTTGCGCAAATTGATCGGTGATCCCAAATTGGAAATGAAGATCTTTCACGCCCCAAGGCCTCCAAAAGTGATTTTCACCGAAGAACAGCGGCTCCAATTAAAAAAGGATCTGGTGAAGACCATACCCGTTCGGTTTTTATTATATGATGGCTGGTAAATTTATTGTTTATTTTTCTTTTTAAAATTTATCCGTTTGACGGCATTTTGACTATTTACGGTCATAAGAAAACCTTCTTAGGCCAAGAACTTAAATTTAGAGTATTTTTAGGACCGATCTTTAGAACATTCTTGAAGCAATTCATAGTTTTATTCCTCCACTTTCTGGCCCCTGATCTTGCTGCCTATACTCCAAGGATCAATAAGGATTTCTATCGGACATCTTTCGTAAGCTTACGAGGTCCTACGACGTGTTATGTGCCCTACATCCATCCCCTGAAGCTCAGATGGAGTTCTGATCCTGCAAGTGACCAAGAAAGCTCTCTCATATGGGTTGACTACCATCCCAAAGTTGATTTTTATACATTTAATATATTTTTCATTAAATTCCCTGTATTGCTCAGCTGCATAGCAAAGGATTCTGTCCAATATTTGGGGCTCCAAAAATAAACCACTCCGCCCTTTGAGATTTTCTTACAAAACCCTCAGCATCTGTCTGTCTCACTTCTGTTCTTCACTTCTATCTCCTTTACTCCCCATACTCATGCCATTGCACATAAGCGCTTAATGAGTATAAATGAGCTTGATTGCATATTCCAAGGCGCTGCCTGTGCGTCTGTGTGTGTGTGTGAGCTGTTTTTTAATAGCCTGCATATGGCGTTGTAAAAGTTTTCATTACACAAACAGCAGCAGTGGCGGCAGCAACTACAATTTACCGGCAACAAGAGCAGCAGCAGCAGCAACAACAACAACAACAACTTATTGGCCTGACTTTTAAGCGCATTTAACACACGGCGTATGCGTAATGTGCTGGAGGAGCGAGAAAACGAGAGGCTGGCTGGCAGTCAAATTGAATACAGTTGCTCGTAAAATGCTTAAGCACCTGCACACAGCAACAGCAACAACAATTACAGCAACAGCAACTGAAAAGGGGACAGCACAAGGACTACGGCAAGGATGTCACTGAAGAAAAAAATAAAAATATTTTTTTATAAATATTTCGCTGTAAAGTATGCTATATTATTGTAAAAACTTCTTCTCTGATGAGATTTGGGTAAAATTTTCATAAATATTGTTTAATAAATATAATAAATGACCAACAAACTTACAATTTTTGTCATAAATCTTCAAATTTATATTTTCAAATAATTAATTAAAGAATTATTTTTAAAAGGGTTTAATATTTTTGGTTAAAACTTGAATTAGCAAAGGAAAATCTTAAAAATTTCATATATTTATGTAACAAATCAATGTATATAGACATTATTTTTCTTAGTGTACACTTAACGCTAATTTGGCGTTTTACCGTCGAATGATTTTTGAGCATACGCAAGTTACATGCCCACACACACACACACACGCACACACACTCGCACATGGTTGGGGAATTTTCTGCTAAAAGTTAAAAACTTTTTCATTTTTTTTTTTTTTTGGACTACGGATAGCGGATGCTGTTTCTGTGGAATTTTCTGGGCAAAAATTTCATCTGCGGTTGATTTTGATTGTGAAAGGATTTGCCAAATTGCTGTTTGCAACGGTGCGGCAAAAAATCAAAGGGATTTTCAATACCAATACATTCATGCGGCAGTAGAATCGCAAGCCCAGTGTGTATGTGTGTCTGTATGGTTCAGTTTGTGGTTCGCACAATGGTACCACCCACCCACCCATCCACGGACCCACCCCCCATCAAACCACCACCCTTTCCCATTTCTTTCGCCCACTGCCAATGCGTTTAAACAACAGTTTAACAGCAGTTTGCCTGCCTTTTGTTATTGGTGAGGCTTTTGCCTTTGCTTCTCCGCTGTTCGCTGTTCTCCTTTTTGCTGCAGTTTACCGCCTTTGGTGGGTGGCGAGAATTGGGAAGAAAGGTTGGCGGAAAATTGGGAAAAGTGGGTGGCTGCTGCTCGATTTATGGAAATTGTGCAATATTTTCGTTTTCATCTTTTTTTTTTTTTTTTTTTTTTTTGTTGGGACGTTGCCATTGTAGGAGATTCCGCACTTTTGCATAAAGAAAAGCCTGACCAAATGGTTTTCACTTTTGTTTTCTTGCATTGCCAGGGCATTTTTTATGTCTTAGGCTTACACAAATTTAGGTGTCTTTTTTAACATATTTTTTGGGGATTTTCTTTTTTGAGATATTTGTGTGTAAGGTTTGGGTGAGGGAACTTAAAGTTTTAATATTTAAGCTAAAAATTTATCAGGCATTATTTCTGTAAGCTTTACATGACTCAATCAGTTTTAAGATTAGTAAAAATACAGCATATATAACCCATAATTATAGTGTTACCTCACCGATTGGCCGACTAAGAACATCTCCAAACCCTTACCCCTTCTTACTACCCAAAATGTTCCGCAATTTTTACCATTTAACCCTCTGCCATACCCTAACCAATTGTCCCTCGTTTTATTATTAAAAAAAGAAAACCTTTGACTTTGTACCAACAAAATTTGCTTTTAGTCCTCCATTTTTTTGCCTCCACGCCGCTGGCTATGCGAAAATAACGAGAGATGAGAGAGAGAGGGGGCGGAAAAAAGATGCGGACTCAGAAAAAGGAATGCAGCCAATAACTTGGCTCTTAATTTTTGCACAATTTTTGGCCGCCAAAGGCCAAATAAATAACTTGCTACAGCCAAAAACGCGGAGCAGAAGAATATTTTAGCTTTTTGCTTGCCCATTCCGTGGCGTAATTATGCGAAATGCGGACGCATTAAAAATTAATAACTAAACTGCCTTTGGCAGTATTTGCCATACGGACGCCCTCGCTTTCGCAGTTTTAGCCAAAAGTGGGCGTGGCTGTTGGGAAACTAAAAGCATATTTAATAAACTGCAGCAACAATGAGCGGCATTTGAAACAGAATGAAGCGAAGAAGAGAAAGCAATAGGGTTGTGAAGAAACTGGGGAGTAAGATGGCGATAGCAAGCTTATTAAGTATACGCCAAGCTGGCCAAATAATGCGAAAAAGAGCGCCGAGAATAATGAGAAATTAAAACGAAGATTATAAAAAAAGACAAAATAAATAAAATCAACAAAAATATGCGAAGAAAAATTAATGGAAAAAATTCTTTGACAAGAAATTAAATCATTTTTAAGAGGGAATAAACGAGTGCAATTTTGTGGATAACTCCAATGGGTTTTGAAATATAGCAAAAACTGAAATATAAGGCCAAGAACTTAGCTTAAAATATGCCATAAATATAGAGGATAGAATATGAATACCCCTTAATAGTCGTAGTAAAAAGAAAGAATGAGTTTTAACAATTTTATTGGCTTAAAATATTTGTCAGAGCTTTCTTTTGGCTTATCATTTAAAAGTATTAAAAATGCAATTTTTAAACTATTTTTTCTTAAATAAAATCTGCCTGTTAAGGCCTTCTTATTCCAGCATCAATAATTCGTAGCCAAATTAGAAATCAAATCATTTTCCTTTCATTTTCCACTGCCCTTTTGTGATTAATTTTTCTTATGATTTACAAAATATGATAATTTGCCTGTGCAGGAAATAGTTTTTTATTAGTATGATCCTTGAAGGCCATCCTGCAGGACTTAAGCAAGTATTGAATATTAAACTTTTAACTGATTGCATATCGAATGGTAGATTTATTATTCATAAGCTAGTTTCAAACTAAAGCACTTACCATAAATTTATAAGACATTTTAGCAAGGGTCCCCCTTTCTCTCTCTCTTGCTCTCTCTTCCTGTTCATTTTTCCTGGGAGGCTGGCTAAAAGTCAAAAAGCGTTATTAATAAATACAGAGAGAGAGAGAGAGAGAGCGAGAGAGATATAGAAAAGGAACTTTAAGGCAGCGGAAATGAGATAGATAGACCGGCAGCTGGTTTTCATTTAACTTTTTTAGCTACTTCACAGTCCCCCCTAGCGACTAACTAACGCCATTAGCTGGCCCATTGAGCGCTTTGTTGGCTTTCAATAAAAATTTCCATTAAATTGACCCCTGCCTCCCCACCCCCTTTCCCCTCTGTCCTTATTTTCCCCTAGTTTTCCTCCAATTTTCTCCCCCTCCCCAATCGCTCGCTTTACGTCATTTACTGCATCGCATAAAATGCGTTTGCATATTGCCGACTTGCAACTGCTACTGTTGCGTTTGGTAACTGGGCAGTAAATTTTAACTACTGCCAGTGCCGGGAATCCCCTTACAGACCCCTCATCTCTGCTCTCTCCTCTACTGTTAGACAGATAAATGGCGGCTAGTTTTGCGTTTGCATGGCTAATGGAAATTTGCATCCAGTTGGCGGCTTCCACAAAACTCGCTAAGCGTTTTTTTCCACAAACCAAACCACCCAAAAGTTCAACCCCATCTTCTAATGAAACTTTGGTGAAAGTTGCAGCGGCCAAGAAATGAGCTGCAACATTATCGATTGCTTGAAGGAAATGGTATACCTTCAGCTGCTCATTATAAATACTCCTGAGAAGATTTTGATGATTTACTTTTTTAATAAAGAATTTATGATTTTTAGCTCATTATAAAGATGGTTAGAAAAAGTGGGTTAAGTAGTTTCTATTACCATATTTTGATAAACATTCACCTTCTTTGGTAAAGCCTCATTAAGATGCATTAATGTAGCGTATTCCTAGAACTTAATAGCCAAACCTCCGCCAGCTTTCGAGTGCCTTGCTTTTGCCTTCTCTACCCACTGCAAAATCCATTCGATATTGACTGTTGTTCTGTGAGTGCTCGCCTCTTTCTCGGTGTGAGTGTATATAAATCTTAATTATGTACAATGCACATTTTCTAATTGACTGCACACACACACACACACACACACACACATAGGCATACTCGCCAGATAGAGGGCTATGCGCACTTTGCATGTGGCCATGGCTTTTACCTAGCCAGCTGCATATTACGTATACGTTATGTCAATTACGTAAGAAAAGTTGCCGCTTCGAGCGTTGCCGTGCACCAATTTTCTGCGCCAGCACAGAGAAGAAATTTATGTTTTAAATTTTAAATATATTTAAAATGTTTTTAAATATTTTTATATTAATAATTTAATGGGTAAATATTTAAATACAAATTTTTCGAGGATAATTTTCAGGATTTAGTTAACTTTTTTTTTTTAATAATAAATATTATTTAGAAATATATTATCCCTTTAAATATAAATATGTTAAAAATGTAAGTTTTTTACGCAAATATTTAAAAAAAAATTACATTTAATTTTAGCTTAATTACTTTGATTAATTAACATAATTAAAACAATTTTCTCTCAGTTTTTTTCTGTTCTGAGAGTGGGTCGCGTAATTTGTTTACCAGGCGACCACTATTGGAGCTCGACGCTTCGCAAAATGTCCAACCAACTGTTAAATTTACTATTATACGGGCTATTATCCTGGCCATGGCATTTACTCCTTTTGGATGCAACGGCAACGGCAACGGCGATGGCTTCTGTGGAGCAGCTTTTGCTTTTGCCTTTTGGCCCTGTCTGCTCCATTAATGGGCGTTTGGCCATAGGCAAATTTTTTGGCAGACAGCGAAGGCATGGTCGGGCGTAAAGTTTATGCGCACATATGAGCTTTTAATTGCAATTTAATGGCCGGTCATTTATTATCTAGCGGCGACGACAACAACAAATGGATAACAACGACAGCCAAACGGAAGGCAACATCTCATTGTCCATGGGCCTCGAAAAACTTTTAACTCTTACGCCTTATGTAAATTTAACATGTATTGTACTCATGCAGCTACCAGGGAAAAAACCTTTTTTTTTTGTTTAAACTTTTATTTTGACAACACTGCGTATGCGTTATGTGCTTTGACCTAACTGGAAAAGTTACTAATGGCCAGTGTTTCTGTTATTGTTTGCCATTTTCAACCAATTTCGAAATTTCTATACACTTTGTTAAACGAATGGAATTTGTTTGTTTGCCCTCAAAATGTGTGTATGTGTGTTTAAACATTTTTATTTATTTTTTTGTTAGCCAAGCAGTGGATGCAATTTGTTTTGGCTTTTTTCTTATTTTTTTCTATTTCATTTTGGCCTAAAGTAAATTCCAGTTTATGTTGCTCTTTGGTTAACTTTGATGGGGCATGAAAGGTACAAGTGTAGTTGTTAAATTAGTTAATAAAAATAGGGGATTTTGGATTATTATTAACATAATTTGTAAATGGATTGGAAAGTCAATGGATTTGAAATGATTTGACAGAAAAACGACATTGATTAATGTTTATTTTTATGATTAAAAAAAATTATTAAAAATTATTTAAAAAATTTAAAAGCTGAAAAATATTTTAAAATTATTATATATATTAATATATTTTATTATATATATTAATAATTATTAATAAAACATTAAATAAGACTTTTTAACTTATAACTATCGATTTTCGTTTTCTTTGTTTTTTTTTTGGTTTCTTTTCTTTTCTAATTTCTCTAAACTTAACAATTGTTTATACTTTTACTTAAAAATAATAAACAAAATATGAAAAAATATTTTCAAGCTTAATTTTCAACAATTTTCCCATAATTTCCATGCCCATTAAACTGCACTTCCCATTTAAATGCCAGACTTTGACACATTTCAGGCCAAAACTACATTGCAGACACACAGCTGCGGCCAAAAACAATTCCAAAAATTGATTTCAAATGCGTTAAATTTTTTGGTTATTGGATAGGCCTGGTAGACGGGGTAACGAGAGGCAGGGGATTTTGTACAATTTAAATTGGCAGAAACCATAACAATTGACAGTCACATGCCACATACAAGCCATAACACACTCGCAGGCGAACGCATTAGCCAAACTATTTCAGTGAGACAAACTTTGACTGACCACAGTGGAAAACCAAACAAAACCCACTCGGACAGCCATGGAACAATGTTTAAATATTGCATTTTCGCGTTTAGCAGACAGAAATGATTTATCTACCCATCTCGTTCTCTCTATCAATGACTCCATCGAGTTTCCCTACTACCCTACCATCCCATCCCCAAAAAAAAAAGGAGCCTAAAATGAACTTTGTCAATTAATTGCTCTGCAATTTTTCGAATGTCGAATGCAAAATGTTGCTTTACAAAATCCAGAACACAAATGGAGCACTGAGAGAAAAGGAATATTAGAAAATTTGAAAATAATTTTAAAATGTAAAATTAATTTTTAATTTACATTTAGTTTACATTTAATTTACAGTTTGTTACATTTTACATTATGCAATGTAAATTCGATGTAAATTATTTTAAAAATCTGAACTTTTAATCAGTTTGTTATCCTCGCTTTCAGTGCCTTTGCAAATTCTGTGTGTACAATTGCATTGTCTGCGGACTCGTGTGTGTAAATTAGCAATGTAAATATAGCAATTTAAAATGCCGTACAATAAATATGAATGCAAGAGCGGCGAACAAAAAACAAACGACGATATCAGCGGCAAATAATTGAATTTACCCACAGCAAGTTGGGAACCCAGGGATCTATAGGAGGTTTATGGTATTGGTAGGGTAATGGGTATATGGGTATGGGTATAGCCTTTGTTGGGCCAAGGTCTATAGTACAACCCGCATTCCACACTCATACACATATACACACACCGACACAGGACACAGACACATATTGTAAGCCTTTGTATGAATCTAATAAACCGAATCATGTATACATACATCTATGCAAAAATAACTTCAACTCGAGGTGTGTCTGTGTGCGTTTGCTGTTGCTTGTGTGGTTGGGTATTTGCATATACGTGTGTGTGTGTGTGTGTGTCTGGCTCATTGGGTACACTGAGCTGCAAAAGATTTATAAATTTTCTTCAAAAAAATACTAATTTCTAATTTGATGAGATTTTTGTTTTTATTTTCTTTGCTGAAATTACTTTTTATTTTGTAATTATTTAATATTTTGTTGCATAGTGTAAAAGGTTTATATAATTTACAAATTTATATTTTTTATTATTTATTAATATTTCTTATATATTTTCTTAACATTTTTTTTATATCTAATATTTTGTTGGCCAGTTTAAAATGCGAATGAAGCTGGTTTGGCTTGATTATGGCGGCCAATACTCATGAAATATTGAAAAGAGCCCGTCACAGAGACTTGGCTGATCTAGCAATGAGTGGCGTAGGGGTATGGTGAGGGGTAGACGACATTGTGTCACGCATATCCCACACCTGCCACCCACCACCACCCCTATTTGATGAAATATGCATGAAGTTGACTTTTGTACCAGGCCAAAATCACAGCAAAGTGGTTGGGCCTCCACATCCACCTTAACGAATCTGCATCCGCATCCACATCCGCATTCCAAAACCCCACAAAGGTTGCCATTGTTTGATGTTGGGGTTATGTAACTTTAATTGAAATGTAAACTGCAGACCGCACGCGGATCAAAGCGATGTAAAGCGATGTTTTAATGTGCCAAACAACGTGAGCAATTCCACCCAATGCCATATAATTACCCTGTTTCATCCATTTTAATTGCGCCAAAAAGTCAAAATCATTTCCCAAAGGTTGCTCATTTTTTTTTTCAGCTGTTTCCTGGTTTTTGCATTGTTTTGTTACGCATTTATTGTTGTATTTTTAGGGCAGTTGTGTGATGCATATCAAATAAGTTGTGGTGATAAGTTGTATGGCTATTGAAAATGTGTCCCAAAAACTTAATGATTGGATAAATGGCACGGAAAGGTATGCTAACATAGCTCATGTTTCATCCGATGTGTTAATATTTATCGCGATCTTCGATGTAAGTTTTTGTAAATAAAAAAATCAAGGATTTCAGCATAAGTATTTTCTTTCTTGACAAGGCTCACAGATTTTTTAGGGAATTTTTCTTGAATACTATCCCACTCCATAATATAAAGCAAAATTTAAAAAATACTGAAATATACCATAAACCTAATACCATATATACAATAATAATACAAAAAAAGGTGGCAACACCAGGACATTTCTAATACTGTAAATGCAGCTTAAAGTACAAGCAAGTTTTGTTTTATCATTCAAAAATCACCTTGTCATTCAAAGCGAACCAAATTTTCTTTTTGGAAAATTTATTTGTTACCAAGCATTTAACGTAATTATGGCAAATCTATACATCGAATTAAAAACCGAATGGAGCAAACATGCCCCAAATTTGGCTCATTGCTCCCAACTGCTGAATGGTTTCAAGCTGGAGCTAGTGAAGTCTAACTTTGGAACAATCGAAGTCTCATCGAGTTCCAAGCAGAAGGATGAGCTTATCAAGTCCCGGGAGATGTTGGAAATTGCCGTGGAGCACAGTATCACCATCAGGGACTATGCTGCCTTTGAGCGGTATATGGCTCAGTTAAATACTTACTACTATGACTACGATAAGTACCTGGAATCATCGAAGCACATGCACAAGTTCATGGGTCTGAATCTGCTCTATATGCTGGCCACCAATCGCATTGCTGATTTTCACATTGAACTAGAGCGTTTGCCGTCGGCCATTTTGCTCCATGATAACTATATCAAACCCGTTTTGGCCTTGGAAAACTACTATATGGAGGGAAGATATAACAAGATACTGCAAGCCAAGAAATCTATGCCCTCGGAGATCTATTCGAATTTTATGGACATGCTGGTTGACACTGCTCGTGAGGAGATTGCTTCCTGTATGGAAAAGTCCTACCTAAAGATGGCTCCTAAGCAGGCTGCTCAGCGTTTGGGACTGCGTGCTGGTTCCAAGGAGCTTTTGGATCTGGCCAACAGGCGTCAATGGTGTATGGATGAGGAGGGAAACTATGACTACACTGGGCTTCATAACAGACCATTGGAGAAGGTATCTGCCAAGGACATTGCCACCCATAATCTAACCTATGCCCAAGAGCTGGAGAAAATTGTTTAAAATTTTGTATTCGATTTTTGATCATATTCTTCTAAAGCAGAGAATAATGTCCAAAGATTTTTCATTCATCTATAAATCTGTAAATACCGGGCATTTCCTTTTTTATCATAAAATCTAAGACTTTTCTAGTCTTTTAAAATCATTATGGCATCTATATTTTTCAAATTTCAAAACTTGGTCCATCATTTTCTCTAAACCATTTGATTATCTTAAAATCTGTAAATGTAAACCTCTTAAGTAAAGCAATACCTTCCGATCGGTATATTACTCGTTATGACCGGACTATCATAGCATCGCAGAGTGCTTCGTCATTATGTGAATTACCGTCCACAGGGATAATCTTAAATCAAAAGCCCCATAAAGTATGCAACGTTTTTTGTGTCTCTATAGGAATTTATGGTTTTCCTACTGAGACTGCCACTTGCCATGCAAAGTTTCCATTTTCTTTATCTATAAATTATCCGGACATCTCATACCCCCTCTCCATTACCTATCGGTGCTTATCTTCCGCAACTTGAAAATATTTTTATAGTACAACGTCTGCTGCTCCCTCGTTGTTGCTGTTTTCTTTTTTTTTTGTCTGTGTCACGTTAATTACCCAATAATTTTGCACATGACGCGACTTTTTTACTGAGAAATTTTCATAATCATTTTTGTTTCTTCGTTTTTTATGTTACGGCAAACTCCCCAGACATTTTGGGCGCTCCCCGAGCGGAGGGCGTTTCCTTTCCAACTAATGACAGCTTTTGCCCCATGAAGTTGTTACTTTGTTTAATGTCTAAGGAATTCCTGGGTACTCACATGCAAAAAAGTCAAGTGGATGGCAAAAAAAAAAAAAAAAAAAAACGCTGATGGCGTTTTGTAGGAGGACAAAGGGACCTTGCTTTTGGCTTTCCATTTTTTGCCTCAATGAGCGGATCAATCAACGTGTCAAATCGTCTTGAAATGATGTGGATGCGCACGTGATATCCGTTGGAAAACCGATTTAACAAATTACCACAGCAGGCATTTTTGGTTAGTTAAATTTTTGGGTTTTCTTTGGAGGTTTTTTCTTTTCTTTTTTTCGAGAAGAAAATTGAAAAAGCCCGATATGTCAGAATTCTTTTGGGCAATCACGAACGACTTAAGCTTCATTGATTGACGTTTGATTGAGAATTACCTTAGCCATTGTGTCAATCAAGGTGTGTTATGGGAAATCGAATTTGTCTTTGGCACATATCAAAATATGCCTAAGACCAAGGAGAAAATTCAATTGAGGTGTCAGTTGGAAAATTTAATTTGCCTGTCGCCTCTCGTTTTTCGTTGAATTTTCATTCCCTTCTATCTTCTTGCCGTTTGGCAAATTTTAAAACGTTAATCGCTGAAGTTTTTTATGTATTTTTTTTTAATTTTTTTTTTACACTGTGTTTTCTTTTCGGGGACATTGATGAATGGGACATGGACAGTGGCTGATGATGATGGTAGAGCGGATAGAGGGGCGGAGAGGGAAGCTGGTTCAGATTGGAAAATAAATTGAAAAGTTGCTACGTTAACGTTATTTTGTACTATTTATATACACACCCGTATAAATAAAAGAGAAGATGGCGTCTGCCGAGTGTTTGCCAAAGCGTAATTGAACGGCTCTGAAAGTGAGTTTAGCTCTCGGGCTTACAGCTTTAATTGAAAGTCGGATCTAGATTCGTTGATATCGAATTGTAGGTAAATATATATATCGGGAAAAGGAAATGAGTAACTTTTTAAGCTTTAAAATTTGTCGTAAAACTTGAATTTTTTATATTTATTAAGCCAAGAAATGTAACTAATGTTATGACAAGTCTGATTACTTACTAAAATTTAGTTTTTATTATATAAAAGACCTCTTTTTAACATATTTTTAGTCGTTTTTCAGAGTTAAAGTTAACTTAAAATTATTAACAAATATTTCTTAACATTTTTATTTATTTCTTAACGTACTCTTCAATATTTCTCCTTTGAACTTGCCCCTCAAAACTTTTTGCCGTATTATTTCCCAACGCGCATTATGCGAAAAACAATGAAATTAACGAACCAAACACGAATGAGAAAATCGCGATGCGATGCGATGGGAAACTCTCTTCTGGCTGTGTCCCTAAAGAAATGCAAAGATATAGCCAGTTGAATAGGAGGATAAAGATTGCTAAAAGAGAGAGAGAGAGAGAGGAGAGAGGAGGAAGAGTGAAAAGCAGGCATCGCACAAAGCAAAAAAATGTTCAAAAAAGCGTAAAATCAAAGCGCTCTGCAAACGCGCACAGATGGTTCCATAATTAAATAAGCATCGACTGGCAGTGGCTTTAAGGGTGAGGGGGGATAGCTGCGGGGCTAGCTGAAATGGCGGCAATACCGACACCATTTTTGAAGTCATCCAGCTGCGGGTCTAAAGGCACTGCTACTATCTGGAAATACACTGAAAATAATATTTTTAAAATTATTTAAATATATTTTTTCATTTTAAGTTAAACAACTAATTAGCAAGTTTATAACAATTTTTAACAAATTAATTTAATATTTTTGATTTAATTTAGTATATATTTCTTTCAGTGCTTCTATCCTGACTGTTCCTGTTCCTTTTCCTCGAAGTTCTTTTACCGCTTCAGGGTTTTCCCTTCGACCTTCTGCTGGTCTCACATTTCCTTCCACTCCTTCCCTCCGTCGACACTCACTCATTTTGCCATTTTACCTAATTGGTAATTTTGACTCCACACCTCCCCTCCTTACAGGCACTCCGACGACAACCGCTCCACTTCTACACCCCATCCCTTAGATACTCAAATAATTCCCATCGTTCAGATATTCCGGCCATAGCTCCTTTAGCCCGCCCGTCCATCCACAATTGATTTCGGTTAGGTGTGCGAGTGGGCAAAGGCAAACGTAAAGGACGATTGACAAGTTGCCTGGAGGACACTTCAGCGCGACACTTCAGGTATGTCCTGGCTGCTTTTCACGTGCTCTTTAGCCTATTTCCCGTTTCCTGCACCGAACTGGTAACCAAATCTGAATCCCGAATCCGAATTCGAGTCCTTTCTGGCCACTGGCCTTGGTTATTGTTGTTGTCATTCGTTAGCGCTAGCGGTGGGAGGACCACCAAAAAGGACCCTTCTTTGGGGGAGGTGGGGGTGGTGCTGCGGCATGCGCATGCTAATAAGTAAATCCAGCGATCCAATCCAGAGAATAAATATTTGACAAACGTACGCAGGGCGGAAAACTTGGAATGTAAGTATAATAAATGCGATTTTGAATTTGAGTCCTGGCGTCCTCGTTGTTTTCGCGAGGGGTGGTGGATGGGATGGTGTTTTTTGGTCCTGAAAGCAGGACTCTACTGTGCTACGTGCCACTTGTTTTAAAATTCAGCGTCAAAATCGTTTTATTTGCCAATATTTCACTGTGCGCTCGAGTCCTTCGTCCTTAGTCCTTCGTCCTTTACACTCGTTCTCGTCCACCGCTGTATCCTGTCGCTCAGTTTATTAATGGTGTTGGTTTTCGGATTATTTAACGGTGTATTATTTTATTATTTATTTTTGCATTAATTTTTGATGTCCTCTCAGAATTACTTTCGGCCATCAGCATCATCATCATCATCGACGAAAACCCGCAAACCTCTCTAATGGGTTAAGCCTGGGCTTTTTTCGTCGTTGGCTATGTTAACCCTTCAATTATATACTTTATTGGTTGAAAGTTTTTGGCATCGATTTTCGGTTTGATTTCTTTTATTCGGCAGACAGCTGTCCGGTAATTATTTATGCATTTCGACAACGGAATGAGTTTGGGTTAGGCTGCTGGCTGCCTTTGTTTCCATTTTGGGAATTTCATGACAGCCTGCACGGCGCTTTTTTAATTTGTGTCTCTGCGTTGATGGGAAAAAATTTGACTTTATTAGCTATTCAGCTCAATTGATGAGTGGAAAAATTGGTCAGGTTTGGTCTACGCAAAAAAAAGGTGAATTATTGCACAAGTTCCTGAATTAGTAAACGGATTGATCATGCATTTTTGATAGGTATTAACTTAAACTCTTACATAGTTCTTGATTTTGTTACCTTGCCTTTGTACATCTCGTAAACCAACGAATTTTAAGGTATTTTTACCATTTACGCTAAACGCCATTGCTCTGACTGCTCATTTGTTTTTGTAAATGCCCGCTGCCTATGGACTTGTTCGCCCATAAGCTTTGAGTGCTTTGCGGCGCTATTCCACTTACAATTTTTCGTTTTCCTCTTTTCACCTCATTCCGTCGCCAACTGCAATACAATTTGTTATTGTTGCTTCCTCGATCATTCTCGAACTCCTTGCTATTCCATCAACATTTTTTCGTTTTTCTCTTTCTGCCTCATTTGGTCGCCAACTGCAATAAATTTTTTTCTTCCTTCTTCTTGTTCTTCGACTATCGCCGATCATTCTCGAACTCCTTGCTATTCCACTAAAAAAAATTTCGTTTTCCCCTTTCCGCCTGATTCCGTCGCTAACTGTTCTTTCTTCTTCGGTCATCCTCGAACACTCGCACTGGAATTCATTCCTTCTGTTTGCAATTTGCAGTTTATTTCGCAGTGGACCGTCGTCGTGAGTCTTGAAATGAGTGAAGAAGTGTTCTTATTTTTAACTGTAGTTTTCATATGTACATAAGTAAAAGAAATGGTTTTTGTTATGAAAGTTAAATAGTTTAAAGTGTTATTTTTGTGAAGTGATTATTAAGCAGGCTATAATTAAGATGTTTTGAAACGGAGAACATAAAGGCAAGTATGTACATACATTTTTAACTATGCTCTTCATAATTGCATTATTCTTCTGCAAGTAGCCTTGCCCCCTGCCTTTCCCTTCAATTGGCCCAAGTTCAGTGGCAAGTGCCAAAAGCCGGGTGGCAGTTTGTCAAAGTGCTGGCTCATTAGCGGGGCCAATGTCAAAGGCTACGTGTCGCAGACACACATATAATTCGCAGACCCAGAAGGAGACACTGCCCCTCAAATGCCGGCACGTCTAAATTTTTATTTAGTCCTCTTGGCTGGCAGCGCGAAAAAAACAAAAAGAAAAAAGTACAAAAATTTACAGGTGCCGTTCTCCAGCTCCCTATCTATTCAGCTTGTGTGTTTGCCAACTGTCTGTCCCAAAAAAGTAAACCAAAAAACAAAAAAACGGAACAGAAAAAATATTAAAAAATGAGCTGCCATATTTTTTTTACGTTTCGCACTTGCCTTCTTCATGGCGCTGTCATCTTATCATTTTTCTCGCAGACAGCACAAAATTTTCACCCCTCCCTCACTCTTTTTGCTCAGGAAGGGAAATCT